AGGGGCTTGTTTATAACACTCCAACATCCTGCTTTTGTAGTTTTAATGTACAGTTCAGTGCATCATTTTACGGGGGGGCTTGTTTACAGCGCTCCGTCATCCTGCTTGTGTAGTTTTGTGGTATCTGCCCAGTAGGCACGAGATAGCCAACATCAGGTGCAGCTTGGCAAAATTCTCTGTAGCCGCAAGACTATACGGTGGTTCATTGCAGTATTCATTACGTACCCTTGTCATTGCTTTGGCATGAATAGAACCAATTTTAGATTGCTTTCGCGGCTGTATGGAGCTTATTAAACTGCTTGGTTTTAAGGGGTTTATTATATTTTCGGATCTCAGACTGCTCGGTTATATGGAGTTTGTTTTTTTGGGGGGGTGGGGGACAGGGTGGCAATATTTGTTAACTTTTAAATTTAGGGGATTTAAGGGAACTAGGTAATAACATCTTTTTTAACACTATTTTTGATTTTAATTCAGTTGCCTCAGCAAAAAAGAGGGAATTTGAGGGATGCAATATTTGTTAACTTGTAACTTAGGAGAATAAGGGGAAATGTGTATTAAGAACCTATAATGACATTATTTACTGATTTTAATTCAGCTGCCTGTGCAAAAAAAGGGGAAACAAGAGGGATGTTGAGCAAAACCAATGCTTCAAGATATAGGATTGCTGTTATAGGAAAGGGGATTTATGGACCAAGATCTGAGTGATAGATAGAGAGAGGAGCAATTGATTAAAGACAGGAGCAACAGAGGAAGTGGTGGACGTTAGCGATGGGGCACATACCTATCAATAAGAGGATAACTTATCCTTCACCAGAGATTACATGAATTGCTTATTTACTACTGCACAAAATATACAACACTTGGGCTCTGTATTTTTTTGGAAAAGCATATGTTGGTCTTTCAAGATGTGCAAAATTTTTCTTAGTGATAAAATATACAAATCACTTCATGGAAAAAATTTTTTATTGTTGTAGTGTAATCATGATAAATAATTATGCAATAAATCTACTTATACCAGACTGTCTTAAAATTTGCTTTAATGTCCAACATTATTTATTTTTCACTTTGACATTTCTGAAAGTACTTCCTCTGTTTAAAATTCACTAGCAGACATGACCATACCCAAAAACAATAGAACACTAAAAATTAACTACAACATAAACGTGCAGTTTAGAATAAACTGTCCGCGGTGTCTTGTTTTGCTTCAAAGTTTGTGCAATGAATCAGCCCTCCGTATTTCTGTTGAGGATACTGAGTGGAGAGCCTCCAATCTGCAAGCTGCGTGAACCGAGGGAGTGCAACCACAGTCAGTCAAATTGCCTCTTCTTCGTCAAAATTACGACCTGCCTGTCAGTCAGTAAATTTATTATGGTGATAGGTGAAATACATACATGGAGATAAGAAGAGCTGCGGTGATTAAAAGAAGCTTTGGTCCAGCCATGCTATATCCTAAACATTAAAAGAATAATTTAAAATGAGGTTAGGGTCGAAGGCTACACTTTTCAATCGTAATTCTAACATCGATTTCTCGATTTTTGCTGCGGTTTTGCGGAAATTTTTATTTTAAGTTGCGGTATTGAGGTTTTACGAAACCAAGCCGTTTTGCGGTATTTAGAAATTTTCGAGTAATTTTAATGCGGTTTGCGGTTTTCTTATGTTATTCGGTAAGGTGTTTATAAGTAATTCCGTGCGATTTGGCGGTATTTGTACTCGTTATTTTCGACCATTTTTTAATTTTACACTTTTAATAAACCTACACATCAATTACGCTTAGCAAGAGCAATTCAGCCATTAATTTTGGGACAAAAAATGAAGACGTCGACTTCATTCGCGCGCTAAAGGAAAGACAAATTCTCGCTCAAAATCAAACGTACGGATTTACGCATTCTTGAACACCGATGAAAAGAAAACTTGAAAGGGTTTTTTTAAAGGTACTATTTATTAAACTTAAAAACATTTACAGCAGCGCTCAAACTTCGGCTGTGTTTTCGCACTTTGAGTCCCTTTTCGCGTACGAATGAACTCGACACAACTGAACAACACGTGATTGCCACTGTTTGGTACATTTCACTTTCTCGTGATTGGTTGAGCCGCTTTGGGTTCTTTAACCATAGAACCTACGTTGGGAACTGTCATGGGAATTTTTTTGTTCTTTTTGATGTATCCATGGAAATTTTCCCAAGGCAATTTCACTGTGGGGAAATCGGTCACACACAAAACGTTGCTTCCCCTTTGGCAACAGCCCATGGGTAAAGTGGTGCTAGTTTATATTTAACCGCACAAAGAAAAAAAGGATTCTTATGATAATATCTTACCTTTACTGGGCATACAGTGGCTGCAAGCCATGTAACAGGAGATTTCCCGTTCAATTGGGCCATAATACATACATTCTGTGAAGTTACATCGTGGTTGGTGTATTGTACAATTCCTCACTTGTTTGATAGCTAGGCCCCCTGTGTCACAGCACTTTTCTTTACAGTCGGTCTCTTTTTCGGTTTTCCATTCGTTCCACACAACTTTAAAATAATAAAAAGGAAAATCAGTTTCTGACTGCAGTATTGCTCTCTTGTGATTGTAAATTGTGAACATTATCATTACAACTTTGAGAGGACGATTTCAACGTGAAAACTTGCTTGTTCTTTTTCGGATCTCTAGGTTAACCTGAATATTTCAAACAAAGGAAAATGCATGGAAATGCATATTTCCTTCGAATTCTGCCTAAGCCTTTTTCTGCATCTCTTTCATTTAAAAATCGTTAATCACCCTCTTTGTGCATAGAGAAAATAAGGGTGGTGAGAGTGTGTATCCGCCTTACGCCTTTTTAATGGATTATTTGTCTTAAGTTTGTTTTTGGAATAAAGAGCCTGATGTAGAAATTCCAAGAGTTGACCTATAGCCAAGTAGATAGAAATCACGTGGCCCCGCGCGTGGCTCGTGAAGATTAATCTCGCTATAGTATCGGCTAATGCCAATCCTATTTGGGATTTTACTAAAAAAAATGGACAACTAGTAATACATACCAGATAACATAGATGAAGGACTCACTCCCCAAGTTCCAGCTGCTGTTGGTGATATGGTCATTCCATTAGCCTGGTTCACAATATGTGTAACGGTACTGGTGACATCACTAGTAACGGTGTTTGTCACCGTGATGGTCACAGTGTTGGTGACAGTGCTTGTAGTGGGCGTGTATGTTTGAGATGAGGATCCCATTGGAGAGGCCGAATTGCTTGCACTTGAAGACGAACCGGGAGTGGTGCTTGAATAAGAATTGGTTACAGATGGTGAAGCAGATACAGAAGAAGAAGTGGAACTAGCGCCTGATTGGACGAGCATTAAGAATAATATGGCAGCGAGTACCTCTTTCGTCAACATCTGTAAAGAAATTTGATTTAAATGATTTTTAGTTGCGTTTCAAATAAATTTATTTTGAGTAGTTGCTTTCGATATTTTTTTATGCTTCGGTTAGTTTATTGGCTAAAAATTTGTCTTAAGATGTTTTAACGACCATTTGCAATTTGTCATAAACGTGGTATGAAACCGCCATGCTGGAGAGTATGGGACGCACTGGGACAAGAAAAACAAAGGAAAATTATAACAGCATTTTAAGGGCCTGTTTACATGGAGGTAGGGGACCCCAGGTAGGAAACCCCATTAGGTGGGGTAACCTGCCTGTCTATATAATCAGTCTCATTTCAATTTGATCACGTTTTTATTATAGTTGGGTTGAATCACTCAGGCGGGTTGCCCTGTCTGCCAGAGCGGGTAACCCTTTCAGTCGGGGTCAAATTTTGCCATGTGAACGTTTCATGGTGGGGTAACCTACCTATATTCGTATTACATTTAATTCGCCCAAATACCTTTTCCAGAGGCTTTGAATCATTAAAAGTAAAAGCCACACCACTGAAAGGCTACAACAAGAGCAGTAGGTGAGAGTAGAGGAGCGTTAACCGCCGAAACAGGTCGTTTGCCCACCATTTTTGTGCTTACGTGCCATGCGACCATTAAGTAATCTTGAGAAAAAGTGCATCCCGGGATAACGGGGATGTAAGGTTGCATGTAAACGGCGGTTATTTTTTACCCCACCTGAACGGGTTACCTCACCAACCTGGGGTCCCCCATGTATCACCCACTAATGCAATAATCCACCACTATTGTAACACTAACTACTGATGTGATAAATACCAATCACTAATGTAATACGAACCATTAAAGGGCATGTAAACCCAAAAATGCTACAATTTTGTTTGATATGAATAGAATGTATGCCTAAAGTACTTCATAAATCTTTTTTCTTTTTTTCGATACAAGCGCATTTTGACCCGAGAAATCACCTCTGAAAGTTCACTTCGTCCGCCATTTTGATTCCGCCATCTTTGTTGTGACGTCACGAGTGGAATCTCTGCCCACCGGAAGTCAAAAACATCTTTGGGACCTTTACAAGCACGTGTGTTGTCTAGTTTCCTACAAGAATATTTTTTAGTTTTGACATTGGTAAAGCGGTGTTTCGTTGGATCTTGTAATAACTCGAACAAAACAGGGCATTCTACTCATTTTTTTTTTTCCAAAAGAAGAAATTAAAGAATTCGGCGCCAGTGGATCCAAGTTAAACGTGCAGACACTCCATAATCTGTGGCGCTCATTTTGCACACGAATGTTTCGAGGATGATGCGATGGTAAAAATGGGACTCAAAGATAAAAAAAGCAATTTGAAAAGCGATTCGGTCCCCACAATTCAGCCCCAGCGACCCGAAGCATTGTCCGAAGCGCGCAAATTAGCGGACTATGGAGAGCGAGGAAAAAGAAATACCGGCGACTGCGAGTCACACTCCTGGCAAAAGGTCACGAACAAGTCGAGCTCTGCAAAAGTTATCAGTTTCTAGGGTAAGTAATAAGCCAATGTAATAATTAAGAAGGATTTTTTTCATTAGGTCAGTATTAACCGTTCCCCTTCCTCAAGTATATTCAACTTTTTTTCACAGTTATTGGCCGATAATAAACGTGCCTTCGTCGCTGCGAACGCCATCACGTCAGTCTATGCCCGTCGACACTGAAACAAGTGCTGTAGTTGCCTATATGCATAATACGCCGTTTCAAGGACCCACACATCCAAGCAAGTAGACTGAAATCCTCGATGTTCTGTTATACAGGACATTTGGACCTCCGTTTGCTCTTCAATTTTTTGCCATATTTGCCCTATTTCATGGCAACATACGCTTTCGGGTACTGAAGGCATCGGCTAACACATTTCACACTCACACCTAAACTACAAAAAAAAAAAGTGAGGATCCCTTTCATAATGGCTTGAGTTCATCCTAGTCTCATGATAAAATTACTCCAAAATAAAGGCAAATTAGGTATAAGCAATACAATTTAAGTCACAAGAAGATCCGTCTCAATTTCGGTTTCGTCCTTATAATACGGCTTTGTTGTTGTTGTAGTCCATAATCTCGTTGAACTCTGCGAGGCTCGTAACGACAGGGACGCGGACCTGTGTCTTCAGGAGGCTCTGAAGTTTCAGCTACATCGCTGTCGTATAAATTTACGTCGCAAAAATCACTTTCGTCGGATGAATTCTGCTCTGAACTATCCGAACTCTCGCTTATCGCTCGACCCGCTATAGTGATAATCAAGTTGCGCAATAGACTGGTTCCACTCGTTACGTCACAGGTAATTTCATATTGTTAACCGGAAGTTAATCTGCTGTAGAAAACGCCGTGTTTTCGCCTTAGGAGCATCGAATTGGCAAAAACTAATAGCAAAATCGTTTTTAGAATACTTTTTTACATACAAGGGGATAAACTTGTATTTTTGGGTTTACATGCCCTTTAATGTAATAAATATCAACCACTAATGTAACAAAAAGTTAACCACCAATTTAAAAATTTTCTAACCTTTAATGTAATAAAAAACTTAACCACTAATGTAAAAACATTGCGACCATGAATGTAATAAACTTGGTGGCATTTGATTTGCAATACGCACACTAACAATGTTGCCCGTTTCACCATCCAGGAATAAAACCTGTCTTGCAACAAATCAGGTTTTTGCAGGTTGCAGAATTTTGTTGTAGAAAGTAGAGAATAATTCTAATTTTTGCAACAAAATCTAATTGTAAAACTGTACTGTAAATGTAATTGTTTTTAATACATAGTTGAAGTTTTTACCCAACAGCGCGCGCTCTTATTGGTTACTTCAAGGTCACATGACATCTAACAATGAAACTGTTTCCCGCCAAAATCTCTGAGCGGGCAACATTGCAAAATCTATGATGTCAGAGGGTAAAAGTGCACTATCACCCGCGAATGTTGATCGACTACCGTCGTTACAGCGAAGTTTAATGAATTTTCCAGCTATATAATCTCAATCAGAGATTCCCGAGAATCTCAATAAAACATTGAGGCGGTTCTCTGGAAAAAAAAATTAAGGCTGTTTCCCTCGGGACCAAGTTAGACTTGGTTTTAATATTTGGCCCTTTCAGTTTAAAATTTTCTTTGATTCTACCGCGATCCCGCATACTCAGACTTAATTTACTTTGTAAGCTGCGAGTCAAATACCTTTATTTTATATTTGTTTTTTATTCTTTTCCAGACAACTTAGTTTCGAGGCAACCAAAACAAATTTCTGTTTATTTTCTCCAATGAATTGACAAGTGGTTTAAGCTTCGACCGTGGCTAAAACAGGAACAGTTAACTGGTGTCACCGAGGCCTTTTGGATTAAACGTGAGCTGTTAATTACAGACACTAGCAGAAATTAAAGCTTTAAAGAAACGTGTGTTTGTTATCTATGTCACTCAAAAATAGGCCTTTGTAGAAAGAAAACTTGGAAGACTCGGGAACTGTTAACCTTGAATTAACAATTCCTTGTACCGGTGTTGAATTATTTATTAGTGCAAGTGATAGGTTTCAATTTTTTATAGTTTTGTTTTTTCATGGCTCAAAAGCAAAACAATTTATTTCAGTTTATCTTGGTGAGGAGTTCTGTCAGTATTGCTGTTTACTATTTCACTACCCAGGTAAATTCAAAACTAACTGGATGCACGGCTACTTGATATTTTATGTCAAATATTGCACGTTCAATGTAGTTTCAAGACTGCAACTAGCAGGTGTCCATATTGAATATAAAGCTGTTCCTAACTCTAACTTATACTGATTGTTTCAATTATTAGTTACTATTCTGGAAAAATCATTTACTTGCTTTCTTGAAAGTAGTTATTCTTCAATTATTTCAGCACACCTTTTTAGGCGACAAAACTTCGCCATTCTGAAGTGCAAGCGAGAGATTTGTTTGAATTAGTTATTCTTCAATTATTTCAACAAACCTGTTTAGGCGACAAAACCTCGCCATTCTGAAGTACAAGCGACAGATTGTTTGTTTAAATTGTCAAATTTGAAACGTTACAAACTGTTAAGTGTGGACGAGAATTGATGACGAAAGCGAATTTTTTTTTGTCACGTAACATTTTGAAAGCGCCTGGAGCAGTAATCGCTTGTCACTTG